TCCAGGCCAGTATTTCTGTGCGTATAGGTGAAAGAACAAAACATGCTGCTGCTTAGAGCATCTTGTCCAGAAATGACAGTTGACATTTTCTGCCTTCCAAGTTGAGCTCTTTTTTTGTGAGCACGGAGACCTTTCTTCTGTATAATGAATTGCAATCTCCACTAAGTATTGCCATTGAGAGCAGAGGATTAAAATTATCCTTTGTTACAGAGTACCGTCATAATGATACACATTTAGACATCAAAGCATTAGTTTATGGGCACAGGCATGCTTTAATGTCCGATTGCAGAATGTAGACCTGTTTCTTTCAATAATGAAGACATTGTGTCATCGGCCTAGGCTGCCACATACAAAACATATGCTGGCAGGTTATTAAAAAATTCAGCTTCTTGATGAAAGACTATCCTGCAGGCTAAAAGTATAGAGAAAAGACTCTCCATTCTGGTAGAATTATTAGAAATGAGAATATGACTGTAAGCACTAAATTATGTTAATACTTACAAATAGCATCATTTGCATAGCAGTTTATGACGCGATACCAAGATGTTTCTCATTGGTATGTAGTAGGCAACAGATTAAAAATAATGTAGTTTGCAAGTTTGGACTGGGTAAGAACCTGTTCCATCAAAAACACAGTGATTTTTAGATTCTTCATTTCAAGTATTACACTGGGCAAAGTAAAATGACTAGTTTAGTGCTGTGTTTTATCCACTGAAGTGAATGCCAGAGTTATCGCAGAGATGCCTTTGCAGCGGCAGTTGGGGTGAAATCTGAGGAGCATGCTAACACTGACAGCTGTGGACCCACTTACAGAGCCAGGCACTTTTCAGGGGGAGCAACGGTGTCAGTGCCTGGCCCTTGTATGCTCAGATAGAGCTGAAAACCCTCAGCATCCCGCTGTGGTATTTTCCAGTTTGTGTATTGCAGTGTGAATGACGCTGGGGAAAAGCAAAATGTTCCCTAGATAAAATCTGTGTAGCTTAAATATGTCAAAGACATGTCCAATGTGGGATCCTTTTCTACCTTGACACCTTCGCTTTCCACCCTTGTTTTCAAACAATAGTCAGAGTCCATTTATAACTAAGTGCCTGCGACTTTTCCCTTTGAAGGATAGACCTGAAAATTTTGGCTGCTCCACCAGCAATAGAGAATGTAGTAAACGTTATTGATGATTATCTGTTTTGCATGTGGCGCAAAATAGTAATTGTAAGAATAGCATGGTGATGGATTTTTCAAAACATCTCATAGGTTAGGTGTCTAACTCCCATTAAATGTCAATTCTAGTTAGGTGTCTAACACTCCTGGCACTGGTCTACACTAAGGTGTTATTTTGAAATAACCCTCCTTATTCTGAAATAATGAGTGGAGCATCCACACTACCAAGCCCATTATTTCGAAATAAGAAAGTAGACCAGGGCTAGGAGTGTTAGACACCTAACTTGAATTGACATTTAATGGGAGTTAGACACCTAACCTATGAGATGTTTTGAAAAATCCATCACCATGCTATTCTTACAATTACTATTTTGCGCCACATGCAAAACAGATAATCATCAATAATGTTTACTACATTCTCTATTGCTGGTGGAACTGCCAAAATTTTCAGACCTATCCTTCAATGGGAAAAGGCACAGGCGCTTAGTCA